TTCACCTGGCCCTCCCCCTTGTTCACATGACCACTTTCAGCTGTAGGCCTGGCCCTGCCCTCTTGTTCCTGAAACGCTGGCCCCTCGTTCATTGAAACAATGAGCGAGCAGCACTGACCAGGCTGCCCTACTCCTCACACACAGGGGCCTACTGCCCCACCTCTGGAAGTGGTGTTAGATGCCTAAAAGCCTCCAACTGCAGATGGCCTTCTGCTCAAAGGTTGTGTCCCACCCAGGGGCCAGGTCCACGAGCATGGGGAGATCAGCCCCCCACCCCTTTCGGACAGCCATGGGCCTACATGAGCCCCGTGGTGGGGTATGTCACAACGGAGTGTCCTGCGAACCCCACCGCCTTGACTATGGGCTTTGACCTTGGGGAGAGAGCTGTCAAGTCCCCGAAAATCACTTTCCACTCTGGGAGCACTGCCCCGCCTTCTCCAGAGGTACTTACTGAGGGCAGGCTTTCTGCCACATTCACAGGGAACTCCCTACCTTGAGGACAAGGGACCTTGTTACCAGCATCCAGTCTGTACCACGGGAAGGTGGGGCTGTTGCAGCCACTTGTGACCCCATCCTCATTCACAGGACCCCATGTCCTTATCCACCCGACCGCTTCTAAGTGTTGCTCCTGGCCCCAACCCATTCTTGACCTGGCCAAGTCTGGCTGATCACCTAGCCTGCCCCCAAGCTCCCAGCCCCCTTGTTTAAGTCGCTGATGCTGGGCGGTTGGCCGGACGGCCAGTCGGCCTTTCACCTGTGTCCCTGCCCACCAGCCTTTCCCCTGTTTATGTCACCATTTCCAGCTCTTCACCTGGCCCCGCCCCCTCATTCACAGACCACCTTCAGCTGTAGGCCTGGCCCCACCCCCTTGTTCCAGAAACCCCACCCCCTCTTTCAATGGCCCAATGAGCGAGCAGCACCGGCCAGGCTGTCCTGCTCCTCAAGCACAGGGGCCCAGAGCCCCACGTTTGGAAGTGGTTTTAGGTGCCCAAAAGCCCCAACTCCAGATGGCCTTCTGCTCACAGGTTGCCTCCCACCCAGGGCCCAGGTCCACAAGCATGAGACCAGCCCCCTCTTTTGGACAGCCATGGGCCTCCATGAGCCCCAGGGGCCCCCATCGCCCCCACCATGGGGTATCTCTCAACGAAGTGTCCTGCGATCCCCACAGTCCTGTCTATGGGCTTTGACATCGGGGAGAGAGCTGTCAAGTCCCCAAAAATCACTTTCCACTCTGGGAGCACTGCCCCACCCCCTGCAGAGATATTTACTGGTCGCCGGGCCCTGAGGGCAGGCTTTCTGCCCATTCACGGGAAACACCCTTCCTTGAGCACAAGGGACCTTCTTGTTGGCATCCAGTCTATACCACGGGAAGGTGGGGCTTTTGTGGCCACTTGGGAACATGTCCTCATTCACAGGGCCCCATGTCCTTATCCACTCGACCACTTCCAGGTTTTGCCCCTGGCCCCAACCCATTCTTGGTTTGGCAGCTTCTAGCTGATCACTTCACCTGCCCCCAATCCTCCCAGCCCCCTTGTTTTGGTTGCTCCTGCGGTGAGGCAGGTCTGATGGCCAGCCGGCCTTTCACCCGTGTCCCTGCCCACTAGCCTTTCTCCAACTTATGTCACCTTTTTTGGCTGTCCACCTAGCCCCGCCCCCTTGTTGAAGTGACAGCCTTCAGCTGTTCACCTGGTCAGCTCCCTCGTTGACTTGACAGCCTTCAGCTGTAGGCCTGGGCCTGCACCCTTGTTCCAGAAATCCCGCCCCTTCATTCATTGGACCAATGAGCGATCCCCTTTCAGACGACCATGGGCCTCCATGAGCCCCGGGGGCTCCCATTGCCCCCACCACGGTGCATCTCACAACGGAGTGCCCTGCGACCCCTACAGCCTGTCTGTGGGCTTTGACATCGGGTAGAGAACTGTGTCAAGTCCCCGAAAATCACTTTCCACTCTGGGAGCACTGCCCCGCCCCCTCCATAGGTACTTACTGGTCGCCAGGTCGTGAGGGCCGGCTTTCTGCCCCATTCATGGGGAACGACCTACCTTGAGGACAAGGGACCTTCTAGCTAGCTGTACAGCACAGAGGTGACAGCTTCAGATGTCCAGCCGGCCCCGCCCGAGGGCTTAGCAGGCACACACACCTGGTGCTGGGAGCACTGCCACAGGAGGGACATGTGTGACTGTTCATAAAAGGACTTCTGGCCCTGGCCCATTTTGCTCAGGGTTTAGAGCACATGTGTCAAACACAAGGCCCGCGGGCCAAATCCGTCCCGCCAGGCCTTGCAATGTGGCCCGCTGTCATCACTGCACTCCACTGCGTTTCCATCACAATGACAGTTTATGACTGTTCAGTAAACCATTCGGCCCGCGATTTAGGCTGGATTTTAGATTTTGGCCCCTTCTCTGATTGAGTTCGACACCCCTAGTTTAGAGCATCGGCCTGAGGACTGAAAGGTCCTGGTTCATTTCTAGTCAGGGTACATGCCTGGGTTGCAGGCTCAATCCCCACTGTGGGGCGTGCAAGAGGCAGCCGATCGAAGATTCTCTCTCATCATTGATGTTTCTCTCTCTCCCTCTCCCTTCCTCTCTGAAATTAATTGAAGATTAAAAAACAAACAAACAAACAGCACCTCCTGTGCTGACAATGGAGTAGGAGGGCCCAGAGGGGGCCTGGAGCTGCCATGGGGGCCTGGAGCTGCCATGGGGACAAGAAGAGGGTTGAGCACAGGGGCCACGGGGAGCAGTCCCTGCTGTGGCCTGGCCTGTTTTCCCTGAACCAGACACTCCCCCAAGCCCTCCACCTGTCGGGTACTGATGCCCTCTGGCCAGCCAGAGCCCCAAGTGCAGGTCCCCAGCCAAGACATCACCTCCAGATCCTGACCCTACACCTTGGCCCACGGCAGGCAGCGCCCCCATGGTGGCAGCCAGGCACATTGCCACTGCCCACCCTGGGGCCAGTCACAGCCAGACTCTGGCAGGTTGGAACCCTGGCCCTCAAGGGAGGTCTGACTGGGCTCTTCCTGGATGACCTGGGGGGAACAGACCCCTTTCCTGCTTTCCCCTGGGCCTGAGCGTGGGCACCTCCTCAGCCGGGCAGGGTGGCGGCCACTCCCATGCACTGGGCCTTTCCTAGAACCCAGCGGCCGCTAGGCCTGCTCAGTTGTGGGTCAGACACACAGACTTGGGCCTGTAATTCCCATTGGTCAGCACTCGGGAGCCCATGCCTCCAGCTGGCTCTGGAGGCCCAGGCATGAGGACGGTCAGTCCCAGTTTGTGGCCCTTGTCCAGCCTGCTCTGAGCTCTCCGTGTCTAGGGAATGGGCCGTGATGCCCTTCGCGCAGAGCCTCTGCCCTCGGCTGCCTCCCTCCCACCAGTGCCTGCAGTGTACCCTCTGGGCCCCGACTCATCCCTGGGAGGTAGGGCCAGGGCCCAGGGCCAGCGAGCTGAGAACAGGCTCTCTGGAGCAGGCCTGGATGCAGCTGACGGCCCCGGAACCAGGAGTCCATGTGCTGAGCCATGGCCGAGAGGTGGAGGTCTGCTCTGGCAGGGGTGCCCCAAGGTCTCAGCTGCTGGAGTGATCCCCAAGCCCCAGCTGGCAGGCCTGGCTGAGCAGGCTGGGGCCCAGTGGAGAATCTGAGGTCTGGAGCACAGACCACTTTCTCAGGGTGTTCCCCTTATCAGTCCATGGGGCTGGACAAAGCCACTGAGCTGCCAGGACATTGCAGTGCTCATATGAATCAGGCACAGGTACCAACCTTCAGCCCTCTCAGTTAGGGCTCCTTCCCGGGCTGCAATCTCACCCAGGGACACAGGCCCACCATCCCCTTGCAGGTTTGTTTTTACATTAAAACTAGTGGCCCGGTGCACGAAATTCATGCACATTAAAAGGGGATTAGAGGAAATAATTTAATATTGCTATTTGCCATTTATAATAGAAGTGTGAGAGGTGAAAGAAAATTAGTAAGATGTATATGAAATCCTCCTGTCAGAGTCTGGGGCACACCACATGCACCTCAAAATCACGTGAGACCCAGACCTGGCCGTGCCCCTCCACACACCCCCACCCCCCGCCTCTCCCTGTCACATTGGGCTAGATCCAGACCTGGCCAGTCCCACCCTTGTCAAGCCCTGCCAGGCAGGGGGTGTAGTCTCAGGTCCCTTGGCTTGGCACTGGGACGGGGTGCAGCCTGAGGTCCCCCAGCCTGACTCCAGGGGGGGGTGCAGCCTGAGCTCCCCTGTCAAGCCCCACAGGGGAGGGAGAGGGTGTAGCCTCAGGTCCCTGCTGATTGCTCGTTAAGGCTACCTATAGGAACTTGTCCTCAGCTGTGGGTGCAGCCATCCTTGTGATGGAGTGATGGCCACTTAGCATATTCCCTCTTTATTAGATAGGATTACAGTGGCCATAGCTCAGTGGTCAGCAAACCTCGGCTTGCAAGCCACATGCAGCTCTTCGGCCTCTTGAGTGTGGCTCTTCCACAAAATACCATGGCCTGGGTCAGTATATATTAAAGAAGTGGCGTTAGAAGAAGTTTTAAGTTTAAAAATTTTGGCTCTTCAAAGAAATTTCAATCATTGTACTGTTGATATTTTGTTCTGTTGACTAATGAGTTTGCCAACCACTGCCCTAGCTGATTTGGGTCAGTGGATAAAGCATCGGCCTGCAGACTGAAGGGTTCCAGGTTCAATTCTGGTCAGGGCATGTGCCTGGGTTGCAGGCTCAATCCCCAGTAGGGGGCATGCAGAGGCAGCTTATCAATGAGTCTCTCTCATTATTGATGTTTCTCTCTCTCACTTCCTCTCTGAAATCAATAAAAACATTAAAGATAAAATAAACTTTGGTCCATTGGACTCTGATCTGTGGTTGGGAGGCAGACACAGCAGGCTGCGTGCCCACCTGGCAGCCCCAAGGTATGGGCAGAGGGGCCAGAGGCAGTGCGAGCCATGGAGGGTCCGGCCAAAGTTGGAAGCCTTGCTTTAATCAAGATAGAGCAACTTCAGTGCTGAACTCACATTTTATTTAGTCTCCTTTCTAAAGTAATCAGTTTAAACATGAGCTGAGGTGAGAGAGGAGAAAGAACATGAAACCTAACAGACAGACAGACAGACAGGAGGGCAGGTGAGCAGGGCAGGGATCCAGATCAGATCTTCTCCATCTTGGAAATGAGGTCATCGCAGTTTCTGATGAGCTCATCATTTTCTTCTGTCTGAAAGAGGAGTGTCCACCCTCCATCTCCCAGTGCTCAGAGGTGGCAGCAGGGCCCAGGGGGCACCTGGCCTGGAACAGAGAGGCATTTTGGAGGAGGGTTGTGGCCCAGCTTGGGAGCCAGCAGGCCACGAGGCCATGACAGGGCAGGTCCCAAACCACAGGGCCACGTTCCTCCCGCTCCCGGGCCTCAGGCCACACCCACCTTCTGCTCCAAGGCCTTCTCCAGCGACTGGACACGCAGCTGCTCCTTCTGTAGGCTCACCTGGAAGGCCAGCGCTTCTGCCTGGGCCTTGCTCCGGACCTGGGCGATCTCCTCGTTGGCCCTGCACAGGGGAGAGCGGCTCAGCCTCCCCTTCCTCCCCACTGCCTGAGGTGCCCATGCTCACAGCCGGAGATTCTCCTCCACGTGGGCCTTCAGTGCCTGGTACCGCTGGCCTTCCTTCTGGACTCTGGCAATGTAGTCCTCTGCACACTTCAGTGACTCTTCCTTCTTTAAGGGGGAGGGGCATTATTGGCCCATTCACTGCTCTGGGGTCAGGTGTGCAAGGCCCAGCCAGCCCCCCGGGACACACACCAGCAGCAGCTCAGATGAGGAAGGCCGCAGACACAGCACTTGTTTTTCTTTTGGAAAAGACCCTCCACACCGAGCCCATGCCTCCCCTCCCTGGACACCAGCCTGACCCCGACCCCAATGGTTGTTAGTGCCTCCTGGCACTCCAGCATGCCTGGCACCAGAGCTTCCCTCCCACAGCCCTGTGGGCCCCGACCCCTGCACATGCCCAGCTGGGGGCGCTGAAGGGGGCTGACCAGAAACTAAAGGACTCACTTGGGGTAGTTTTAAACAGGGGTTCTCCTTTAGCCCCTGGGGACCTTTGGTTGTCACCCCTGAGGTGCCTCCCAACACCCAGTAGTGCACAGCAGGGCCGCACCTGGTTGGGGGGGGTGTAGCTGGGTGCTGGCAGTGTGAGTGGGGCTCTGGGGCACCTGCAGTGAGGAAGCTGCCAGCGGCCTTTGCTTGATGGGGAAGCACAGTCCGCCATGTGTGGGCGCCTTCCTGTGGGGGCCCGCCCGAGGCCCCACTGGTGGACCTGGACTCCGAAGCGGAGCTGGGCCTTGCTGTGAGTGCTGCTCCCTTTGTGGAAAGGGATGGGCTTTATGGTCGGGGATCTGAAGGGTCAGTGACAGGGGGCCCTGCTTGTCTTGGTCACTATGCAGTCCTGGAGCCTCCTGCCCCCCAGGACCTGTCCTCCCTGACCACAGGACGTGGCTGGATGGGAGAGGAGTTTGGGGCCCAGCTGGTCTCTGTTGTCCCACAGGTGCCCCCCACAACCACAATACCTCCCTGTGTGCTCAGGCCCGGGCCCCCTCGTGGAGGTGCTACAGTTCAGCCAGAGGGACCCGGCAGTGAGGGCGAGGCCTGGGGAGAAGGTGCTGCTGCAGTGGGACCCCAGGTGTCCACTTACTCAGCTAGCTATCGCCCAGCTGGCACAGACCCCAGGCTATGCCCACTGGCAGCGGTGTCCTGCCCTGGCCTCGCTGCCCATGGCTCCTGCTCTGAGCTGCCTCCAGTGTGCTGTTTTCTCTGCCACCCCCTCCTCCCACAAGCTGCTCCCAGCCTGGCCTGTTGCAAGAGGCGTCTCATCCCAAGCCCACACCCCACACATAAGCATGGGACCCCCCCAGAACAGACCTGCCCACAAAGGGGAGCTTAATGGACTCACACCCCAGACTTGGACTCTCAGTGGGCATCTGCTGGCCGACCGGTGCTGCTTAAGCCTCTTCTGTGCAGGTGGAGGCAGCACGGAAGGAGGTCCTACAGCTGAGGAGCCAGTGTGAGGAGCTGCACCAGAAAAACCTGGAGATGGGGTGAGGCCTCAGGGGTGGGGGGGTCATTCAGGGGGAATGCCTGGGGGGCCTGCGGGGTGGAGGGGGGCACCTGGGGATGGGGTGAGGCCTGCAGGGGGGATGGGGGACCTGGGGATGGGGTGGGGAGTGGCCCGCCACAGTGCTCACAGGCATCTGCTCTTCCCACAGGAAGGTCATGGACCTGTAGGAGAGCTTGATGTACGAGGTGATTGGTAAGTGCGGCCCCGAGCCCCTCTCTAACAGCAGCTCCCGCCTTGGTGCCACAGCCCCAGTGTAGAGTGGCCCAGGCCAGTGCGGGCAGGTCAGGGAGGTGGGGGTGGGGCGGTAGGCGTAAAGCTGTGGGCTGGTGCTCAGTTCCCAAATGGGCCAGAATCTGGCTGGTAGCTGGGACCGCAGGGAACAGATCTCGCACGGCGTGTCCAACTTCACCTCTGTGGCCATTGGCTCTGGGTGCGTCCAGCCTGCACTGGGGGTGGGAGCACCTTGCCTCTCCCTGGGCCAGTGACTCAGGCTCCAGAGGCTGCCAGCTGTGGGGACAGCTCTGCTGCGGCCCTGGGTTCCTGTACCCCCTGGGCTTCTGGGGCTGGTGTGGGAAGTGCTGTGCTCTGGGAGAGCAGCTGGGAGGGGCCTGGCCACCTTCCTCTGGGGACCTCTGGGCACTGCGGCTGACGCTGCCCTGTCCCACTGTCCTGCCCTTAATCGCCCTGTGGAGTCTGGAGCTGGGTGTCCCCATCGCCTCCCAGTGGGTTGAAGGGTGGGTGGTCCATCTTGTCCCAGGCCAGGGCCACATGTGTCAAACACAAGGCCCTCAGGCCAAATCCGTCCCGCCAGGCCTTGCAATGTGGCCCGCACTGCGCTGTCATCACTGCACTCCGCTGCGTTTCCATCACAATGACAGTTTATGACTGTTCAGTAAACCATTCGGCCCGCGATTTAGGCTGGATTTTAGATTTTGGCCCCTTCTCTGATTGAGTTCGACACCCCTAGCAACAGGACCTTGGTCAGCTCCTCGGAACCTCTTCCTGCCTCCCCTCTGGCTGCCTGGGGTCACAGGTCACCGATGGATAGCAGACATGGGCTAGGTCAAAGGCGAGGTTGTCTGTGCTTGCCTATTTCCCCTTCTGGTTCAGACCCCTAGCTCCATGGTCCAGGACACACGAGGGTCAGCTTTTCACTGGACAGGATGGAGAGGGCGTGAGGCTGCCTTCAGCCAGGGAGGGCCGGCTGGCAGGGCCACCTTCCCAGGTCCTCTCCCGGTTCCCAGGCCTCTGCTCTCTGCCCTGGAAGCTAGTCAGACCCGGAAGCCAGGAGGCGGTGCCTGAGCCGCCTGCTTCCCTCCCTTCCTGGAGCCACTCTGGAAGAACAGGACCTGCCAGTTCAAGCTCTTTCTGTTGCATTTCAAAAAGAGAATACTAAGTGAAGTTGAAAAGTAACAAGGAAACCTGGGGAGAGAAACAGATTCAGGTTCCAGAAGCTTCCACCTGGAACAGGAACACGACTCAAGGATGCTTTGCGCAAGGTAGGTGAAAGGCCTAGTGGGGACATTTTGCTCTGATCCCTTTCTCAGACTGCTTAAGAGAAAACCAAGTTTTAAACAGCGTAAGTCAGCAAAAGGCAGCACAACCATGTTCCTGAGGCCCCGCCCACTCGGGGTCCCTGGCGGCCAGGGGGTCAGTTCAGCCTAATTGGGGAGAAGGGCCCAGCAGGGTCCTCCCGCTCAGACAGAGGCAGGCAGATTGGCGGCACCTGCTTAGCGCACCGCCAGCCACGCCAAACACCAACCCCTGTGGCAACTGTGGAGGGCGCCTCCCGGGGGAGGGCCGGCCAGACCCCACAGAAAGCCGCTGCCCTGAACCAGCTTCTGCCTGTGGTCTCCAAGGCTCGGCGGGAACACGCGGCCACTGGCCAGCAAAGGGAGACCAGGGGACGCAGAACAAGGCGAAGCCACAGCGGCCTGGGGAAGCGGGAAGAGAAGTCCAGAGGGACTGGTTCTGGCCTCAGCGCAGGCTCAGAAGGGCGGCCTCCTTCGGGCAGCTCCCTGCCTGGGGGAATTGGGGGGAAGGAGGGCGGGCGCAGTGGGCCTGGGGCAGGTTCCACTCGCACGGCCCAGGCCCACGGCCCAGGCCCACGGGCCGGGCTCCGCAGAGCCTGTGGGTGGGCAGGCCGAGCCCAAGTGTGACCGGGCGTGGCTGCGGGAGAACCGCGCGGTGCCTGGAGCTGAGGCGGACCCTGACTGGGAGCCGAGGGGCCGCGGGAGGGCGGTCGGTGTTGGGTGGACGTCGCTCACCTTTGGGGTGGGACCGAGGCGGGGATGCGGCCAAGACTGGGCCCACAGCCCTACCTGTCTCCCTCGAGGTCGCAGATGGAGCTGGAGGAGGAGTCCAGTCCTGCCTGCCGCCCATCAAATGCCCAAGGTGTGCGGCAGGCGGGCCCCGCCCCCGGGAGCCGGGCGCTGGCTCCAGGCTGTGCGCGGTGCAGGAGGGCTGGAGCCTGAGCCGCCCGGGGTCTCTGTGTTCTCGGTGTGAAATACGAGCAGGTGCAGCGCCGCCCTCCAGGAGGGTCTGAGCCTTCCAGCCCTTGCCAGTTGGCCTCTCGGAGAAGTTCTGGGGCCCCTTGGGGCTGATGGCTGGCTACACAGGTCCCCGAGGCGGGTGGTGCAAAACATCAAAAGTAGGAAAATGCAAGATGCTAAGGGCCTACGGAAAAGTCAAACAGCATGCCACTTCAAACATTCTCCCAAATATGAGGGGACTGACTCTCCATCCTGCCACGCGGTTGGAGGTGGGGAATGGGGGTCTAGGTTCTTTTAAATGTGGACAGGCCCCAGCCGGGTTGGCTCCATGGATGGAGCACCTGCCTGTGGACCTAAGGTCCTGGGTTTGATCAGGTCCATGCACCTGGATGCAAGCTCCATTTTGGCCCTGGTCCGGGCGGGTGGGGGAGGCAGCCGGTTGATGTCTCTCTCTGAGACGGGTGTCTCTCGCATACATCAATGTTTCTCTCTCTCTCCCTGTCCCTTCCACTCTCCAAAAATCAGTGGGAAAATATCCTGGTGAGGATTTACAAAGGATAAGTAAGTGGCCTCTCTGGATTGGCTGGTGCTAGGCTGTCTGTCATACGTTACCCGAGGTTACACACTGTGAGTGACAGCAGGAGTCAGGAGGGAGCCTAAAGCCACTGTCTATGGCGAGTGAGAAAGCTTTTGTGGTAAGCTTTTCCAAAGACACACCCTGAGACCTCCTGGAGACCAGCTTGCTCCAAGGTCTGCAGTCAAGTGAGGTGATAGGTGCCTGGCTAAGGAATGAGGTGCCTGGTGACCAGAGTTCTAGCTTCTGTATTGTCCTGTCATTGAGGAAGTGACATCACGTGTGTAAGGTTCCATTATCTGTGACTTTTTTTTTTAAGCAGACTTACCTGGAAACCCCTCGGGGGTTTTGACTGCTCACCCAGAACACCTCCATAAATATGTAAAGTAATCCAGTTCAGCTTTTCCCAACAGCTCCAGACCATGCCATCAGGCTCCTAGAGTTCAGGAGTGCTGAGTTAGACGTGTGTCTGCATGATGGGCTGAGTGTCTTGGCAAAGTCGTTGTGTCCTCCTGGGCCTTCCCAGGGCCCCTGCCAACACGCAAAGACTGATGCAGGAAACAATGGTCTGGATACCTGGGCAGGTGTCTATGACTTAAAACCCTCCACCCCTGTGGACGGTGTGCCGTGTACCGGATGAGATGCAAACACTCAGAGATGGCCAAATTATAAGACGGGATTGCTGTAGCCTGAACGGCCACTTCAAGCAGGCCTGGGTTTCAGCACCCACCGTGATCCTGGTCGAGTCCCAGCGCTCTGGGCCACGTTTAGAGGCCTTCACCTGTAAGAGGGTGAAATGAAGGAAAGGAAGGTGTGACCACCTGTGCCATATCACCTTCTATGGCCTCCTGTGACACAAAGCATCAGACCTTGGGCTTGCTGTGGGCCTACTTGGTGGGCAGCCTCTGCAATTACTCCCCATGGACCCGCCTTCAAAGATGCGCATTTTTGGTGACAATTGAGTGTTTACCAAGTAGATTCCCCACAACAAAATACAGCCAGTGTGGAGTGAAGAGGGCTCTGTCTTGCCCAGTTGAGGAGAGCACCGCCTTCTGCCCTACCCAGGACATCGTACCCTAACAGGAGAA